AAAAAAGAACTTTTTCACAAGTAGCTACAATTTGTGTTTTTAAAACTGCTACATGTAGCTCAGTGGTAAACTGTTTGCCTAGCATGTGTGAAGTTCTAAATTCAATCCCTAACACCACAAAACAAAAAGAGTTATTGAAGTTAATTTTATAGACAGAAAATGATGGGTATTTGTTTCTGACTTTATAGAAAGTAAGTGATAGTTTTCTGCTACTTGTACTTCAGTTTTTACCATTGGCTTAACTTTTTAGAAAAAATAACTACTGTATTTGAGGGGAGAATAAGTTTAGGTACTGAATGTTAACTAATTTCCATTTTTCCTTATTTAACATGTTGACCTGTGACTCTTGCATCAATTGGTTGCCATTACTGAACCACAATATTAGACGTCCACTCTTACTTGACTGTAGTAAATTACTGCAGTTTTAAAATTGTTCTTATGAGAGCTGGGGATTCAGCTCAGAGGTGTAAATGCCTGCCTGGCAAGCACAAGATTATGAGTTTGATCCCTGGTACCAAAATATTATTCTTAGTAAATTATTACAGTTCTAAAGTTATTCTTATGATTACATTGTTGAAAACTGTTGAATTCTTTTACTTAGTATTTTATTTTTTTCATTGCTGTCAATGTATCGATGATATTTATTATTTATTTTCCCAAATGAGCTGCAGTAAAGTGTATAGAAAGTAAATTAATGTATCAGAAAAATGTCATTTAAAAAGCAGAATAGGGAGGAGTTCCAAAAATCGCAGCTTGCTAGGGGATTGGGCAGAGAGTCTCTGCAGAGAAATCATATTAGATGCTAGAATATGACAACATGGAGAGGGCCAGACAAATGGATAATGATTCTTATTAATGAAGACAGCGTGGCTGGACGCAGTCTCGTGCTGAGACTGTGGCTGCTGATAATGGGAGTCTGCAAATCCTGCACCTTTAACGCAGCACACTGACCAGTGGATCCAAGAGGAAAAGCTGTATTGGCTTTTGGCGACTGGTGGAAATTGAGACCCAGGACCCCGTGAAGCAGCCAGGGCCACCCAGCTGTGCCGGAGGAGATTGTGAGAAGCTCTGGAGCTCTGGAGCTCTGGACAACGTGCAGTTTTCTGATGGTTCCGCGTTGTGTTGGGACCGCAGTGAAGGCAAGCGGTACAGTGTGCAGTAGACCCAAGAGGAAGACCTGCATTGAGTCCTGGTGAGTACTAGGGACAGGGTCCCGCAGCTGCTGTGGCTGGCTGGAGGACATCTTGGAATTGGGCAGAGCCCGCCACCACAGTGGCATCAGTAGCACAGAGAATCTGGTGGAGGACATCTTGCAGTTGAGCAGAGCCCACAGCTCGGTGACATCAGACAATCACCCCTGGCATAGAGAGATCTAGTGGAGGACATCTTGAAATTGGGCAGAGCCCAGCGCCATGACAGTGTCAGCGACACAGAGAGAACTAGTGAAGGACATCTTGGAATTGGGCAGACCCAGTGCTGCAGTGACATTAGATAGTCGCCCCTGGCACAGAGAGGTCTGGTAGAGGACAGATATGATCTGGGCAGAGCCCTGTGCCATGGTAACATAAGTCAGCTGCTTCTGGCACATTGAGAACTGGCAGGATCTGCTGGGGCTGAACCAAGCCACTGATTGGGACCCAGTAAGCAGATACAAAATAGTCACGACTCTGTGACATCCACAAAGTACAGCCTAACTTGTGGATTGACTGGCACAGAGACTGGAGGCTACCCTGCATCCCTGCCTACCCCAGATAATGGCAAATTGGGGAGAGCAGTAAAAACTCAAGTCAGCATGCTTCTGAAAGGCCCTAAGCAATACAGAGAAGGCCAGAGACCCCCAGCACACTCCAGTCTGAAAGACAGCAGAAACATGACAAGAGATAGAAGTAAAAAAAAAAAATCTCCAGCTGCCCAACATGAGCAAATAAGCCCAGGAGAAGTAAACACAGAAGAGAACAAGTACAGTAACCATCCAATAATGGACACAGCATCAGCCGAAATAAAAAAATACCTCCATGACCTCATAGATGAATTTAAAGCTGTACTCCTAATGAAGAGATTAATTAAAGACACGACAAGCCCCACCCAAGAGAACACAGATGGAAGAATTGAGGAAATCAGAAAAGAAAGAGAAACTTCTGAAGAAGAATTTAAACAAAACTTAGAATACATGAAACAGATCCAAAGAGATTACCAACAAACTAAAAACTCCATTGAACACTGGTAAAATGTCTTGACAGGAACTAAAGTTAGCCTTTTGAAACTTGAAGAGAGATTTGTGATATATGATCGTGAAAGAAAAGACTTCTTAAAAATAACGAGGAACCAGAAAGAAACAATTCAAAGTCTAGGAGATGACAAAAGAATACATAACTTAAGAATAAAGTATGTGAGTGAGGAAGCAGGAGCAACCAAAAATGAAATACAAAGAATATTCACAGATATATTTAAGGAGAATTTCCCATGTATAGCAAAAAGAAATGATATCCAGATAAAAGAGGCATACAGAGCACCAGCTACCTACAACCAAAACAGATCTACACCCAGACATATAATAATCAAGATTCCAGAAATCCACCAAAAGAACAGAATATTAAAAGCAGCCAGGGAAAAGAAGCAGATTACCTACAACGGGAAAATTATCAAAATAACAGACTTATCAACACAAACTTAAATCAAGAAGGGAATGGGCAGAAATATTCCAAGTTCTGAAAGAAAGTAATTTGCAACCGAGACTCATATACCCATCAAAACTCTCTCTCCAAATTAATAGAGAAATAAGATGCTTCCAAGACAAGGAGGAACTGTGGGAGTTCATGGCCACCAACCCAACCCTACAGAGAGTGCTGAAGGACATTACAAAGACAGGAAGGGATACCAGGATTCCAGCAACAGTGGCAGAGAGGCTTCAATGAAAGGGGCAGACAGTGGAATGAAGGAGTTACGTGGACAAATTATAGCAGTAAAGTGGAGTAGCAGACATGAGGCAGAGACGGTAAGCTATAATCTTTAGTATAGATAGCTTTGATACACTATAAAAAAGGCAGAGGTCATTGTTAATAGTCTATCAGGATTTAAAAGACACAGTAGTGGAGTAGTCTTATCTCCCTGTTTAGTTTGAATTTAATTTGTTCTCAGCTGAGAAGATAATGAGATTCATTATAACGCCCATTCTCGTTGACTTTTATCTACTTTTGAAGACCTACAATGTCTCCAATGTTTTGGTTTTGTCGGTTTTGTTCTTTACTATTTTGTTCAATTGTATTATAACTAATGATATAGGCAATTCTATTAGAGATAGCGGGAGGCATTATGGTAACCATTGTTGATCACCTTGTATTATGTTTTTATATTATCTATTATGTCCACCCTTTTGACTTGACTGATTCTGTCCTGTTATGTCTCATTTGGTTTTACTGTCTTCCAAAAAAGCAATAAGAACCGTGGGAGCAATGAAACCCAAAATGTGTAATAGTCATTGTACAAAAGAGAGGAAAAGAAAATGCTCTAAACTATATAACTGCATGTATATTTAAGTGTATAAGATAGAAAATGATATCACAGAGTTTATTGGATCATTGAACAGAACTGTTTGCAGTATCATTGTTGGAATGTCCACTCTACAAGCTTTAATTTTGTGACTTGAACAGTTATTTTTAAGATGGCAATATGTAATCCATTAACTAGTGATTTCCTACTGTTCATTTTTTTTTTCTGTAAATCTGTATAACTTGTACCCTTTCACTTTTTTTTTCTTTTCTCCTTAAATAAAAAAAAAAAGAATTTAATTTGTTCTGATCTGTCCACTCATATCAGATTTGAGGGCACAGACATCTGACCCCAAAATAGCAGGTTATACCATGGTAACTATCCTTAATTTCCTATTAACTTAAACAAACCCTGTATTACTTACATTGTCTTACTATGACTGATCTTATTTGAATTCAATTCATTAGACCGCGGTTTTGCCTTTGCTGATTTTATTTGAATTTGGTATGCTTGATAGTATCAACCCTAAAAGTAGAGACAACTACTCTGAAGATGATAAGATGTAAAAGATATCCATACTGGTATTGATTATTAACAGCTCTCAAGTCGTACAATGTTTTCAAAGTTGTGTTTTTATAAAAATAGCTGTGTAATACTATGCTTAACTATATTAAGCCCGATGATGTGGACAAGTCTATTGAAAATAACAAGAGAAAGCATAGTAACTACAGTAGATCACCTAACATTGTGGTCTTGCATGTTTTTCTAGGAATTTGTTTTGCTGTCTTGTTATGATTTGATTTTCCCTATAATACAGAGAGGATAGATATACATGTAGAAATTCACACATGAGAAGATTTTTTAAAAACTATTTACGGGAACAGATTATATAATGCAAGATGTAATGAACAGATACTCTGAAGAAGAAGAGACACTAAGAAACCCAATGCTAATTCTGTAGCATTATGATATAAAATCTAGCAATACTATTATTCACTGATCAGAGTGATATTAGTCTAGTCTCAAGTTCAATTTCAGCATATGAAGGACAGCTACTATGAAGAGAATGAGAGACACTATGGTAGTTACTACTGTCTTCCCCAATGTCAGATCTTGAAGACCTAAACAGCCTTCATCATCCTGTAATGATTTGATTAGTTCTATAATATGCAGTATATATTTAATGTTCGTGAAGATGGAAACAACTATTTGGAAGAAACTAGAGATGATTAGATAAACAATGAAGATCTCCAGTGGACTTCCTTTGAAATCTGTATTTCTTTAAATTGTTTTTTTAACTGTTTTGTTCTGTTTTGATATGTTTAATCTTACCCTCTTTAAGATAAAAAACAAATGTGTAGGACTGATTAAAAAAAAAGCAGAATAGATCTGAAAGGAAATATAGTAAAGACTAGCAAAAGTTGTAAGTCGGTAGAACCTTTTTATTATATAAACATCTATCTTAGACCAAGATACAGTCTACTTGCATCTTTGTTTTTATTTTCTTTTAGATTGAAGAACAGTCTGACTGTAAGATCCTGGATGGACACTTTGTTTCCCCAATGGCGCATTATGTACCTGATATTATGCCAATTGAATCTGTTATTGCAAGGTAAGAATTTTTGAGACAGATAAATTAGTAAGTTCATTGTGTTCATTAAAATCATACCATACTGTATTATTTCAAATCACTTAGTAACAAGGCAGATCTAAATTATTGAAAAGACTGAATTTAGAAACTATTTTAATTCTTGTAAGGCACAGAGTAAAGCTGGACATTGTGGCATATGCACATACGTGTGCGTGCGTGTATGTGTGAGTGTGTGTGTGTGTATGTAATCTCAGCATTTGGGAGGCTAAGACAATATGATTGCATGGGTTTGAAGCCAGCCTGGGCTACATAGGAATTTCAAGGCCATTCTGAAGTATATAGTAAGACTCTGTCTCAAACAAACAAAAAAGCCAAAAAAAAAAAAAAAAAAAAAACCCACACCATAATGGGCACACATTATGTGCATGCCTGTTATCCCTAGGCAGAAGGATTTCCATGAATTCAAGGCCATCTACAAGTAAGCTCAATTACATAGCAAGACCTCATCTAAAAAAAAAAAAGAAAAAGTATACAGGGTAGTATATGTACAAGGGTGTTTATTCAAGTACTGTTCATATGTGAAAAAAAAAGTAGTGCCCTTAACATTCAGCAGCAGGTTAATAATCCACATAGTGGATATTGTGAACTGACATGGCAGTATGACCCATACTATACGATTGAGGTCTTCGTTACTTTACTTGTCGCTGAGACAAAATACCCAACATCAACAAGTTAAAGTAGAAGAGATTTATTTCACCTCATAGTTGGTAGAGGTTTCAGTTCATAATTGCTCTATTGCAGAGGAGAAACAGACCGTGGCATGGCAAGCAGAAAGCAGCAAAAGCAGCATCCAGTGAAGAAAACCTTACTTTCCCTCTTATCCCACCCAGGCTATCACCCACACTCAGATTAGCTCTTCCCATTACCCACACTCAGAACTCTTCTAAATCAATCAGTGGACTAATTTAGTACCACACACTGTCAGTTTCAGTCAGACACCCTAGATTCAGCGAGCTCCAAAAAACCCCACCTATGAACACATGAAGCTTTGGGGGGACATCTCAATACAACCCATAACAACAAAAATATAAGAAAGTAATACAAATGATTGTTTGGTTCCAGTTCCATAAATACACAGGCATATGCACAGGCACACCGTCATACAGAAATTTCCAGAAAATATGTATTAATGTTGCAACCCTGATTGTCTCCAAGTGGACAACCTTAAATTTCTACAGTGTTCATGTATTTTCTATACTAGGAAGAATAAATTAAAGTCTTAGACTAAATAGACTATATAGTAAACCTCCTCAGGATAGTTTGTGAATGTAAGTGAACATTCCAAAAATATCCTAGGGTTATTTTGACACAAACAGGAATTCTCCTAAGCTTTTTGCTTTAGTTTTTTTTTTTTTTTTTTTTTTTTTGTCTTTTTCCTTTTTATCGGTACCAGAAATCAAACTCACGACTGCCTGCTTATAAGGCAGGAGCTTATGCTGCTGAGCTAAATCCCCAGCCCCTTTGCTTTAGTTTTTAAAAATTCTCCCATTCTCCTTATTTACAACTCCTCTTCTCTTTACAAAAGCTTTGTTTTCATTTTTTTCTTGTATTTTTTCTTTTCTTTTGATATCCAAGGTTTTTAACTCATTAATCATATAATAGTTGAAACTTAGCTTTTTTGCATCAAAATATGATTACCACAGTGCCTGTGTTCTCGAACTCAATTTTTTCCATTATTCTGGTCGAAAACCAAGTTGGATGAGAACCAAATCAAATTCAGTGGTTAGGTGTAATGTTTACCTTATGGTTTGCAACCAGAATCCTGGAGAGAAACAGGTAATTTGCTTTGTTCAAACTTTCATCATAGAGTACAGAGGTCAGTTTTAGTCCAGGTTTGTCAATGAGTTTTTAAAAATTGTTTTAAATTCAAAATCAGTGTTGAAGCTAGTTTTTTCCATGGATTTCTGTTTTATGCTTTACCTAATTTTGTTTACTTAAAAAGAGCAAAATAGCTTGGCATGCTAGCACACGCTTATAATCTCAGCCCTCGGGAGACTGAGGCATAAAAATTGTCACAAGTTCAAGGCCAGCCTGGGCTACACAGTGAATTCAGGGGCATTCTGAACTCTACATAGTGAGGTCATATCTTAAAAAAAAAAAAAGATAGTTTACTATTTTCCTCAGCATTGTTGATAATAAACCATTTGCAGCTTCTGTTAAGTAGTTTCTCCTGTAAAATTTTTGTTTGCAATCGCAATGATACATATATGTGTATATATGAAAGTCTTTCATTCAAGAAGCTTCTATTCTGTAATGGAAATGGAAACTCACCTAAGCTTTATGTGAGTACGTTGGAGTCTTGAATAAATTCCAATTTATTCCAGGAAATTCATTACCTAATAAACCTACATGGTGAACTATTATAGTCAGTTATTATTTTATTATCTCTAAAGTAGTAGTTTATTTTATTTTTTTTGGTACCAGGAATCAAACTTAGGACCGTGTGCGTGCCAGGGAGATGCTTAAGCCACTGAGCTATATCCCTGGCCCTAAAGTAGTATTTTAAATGTATTTCTTTTAAAAACTCTAAAGTATTATGTAGTGGAAAGATCTAGAACTTTGTAGTTAAACAGATCTGTGATTGAACTCTGACTCTACTACGTATTGACCTAATGACTTTTGGTCAGTTACTTAATCTATGAATCAGGTTTTATAAAGCAGGACTATTTAAGACCCTTGCATAGTGGTTTATGACTGTAATTCCAGCTCTTGGGAGGCTGAGGCTGGAGGATCATTATGGTTTTGAGGCCAGCCTGCGCTACATAGTAAGCTTAAAACCAGCCTGCACTACATAATGAGACCCTGCCTCAAAAAGAAATGCAGAGAGGGAGGGAAAGAGACAGAAAACTTAAATATAGGGTTATTAATATGAATAAATGAAATAAGGAATGAAAATTGTGTGTGGGCTACATTAAAAAAGTTAAATATATGTTCAGCTCTTTAGCCTGTAGGTTAAATGATACAGAAAGAAAAGTAATTTTAGGTTTTTTTTATGTTCCATCAGTTCCTTCCTTGGAATTGTGTTCTCTTGTAAATTTTCCCCTTATCTGAACGTTGTATAGGTGTTCATATAACAAAAGGAGAAGGGAGCAGGGATAAGCTCAGTGGTAGAACTTTTGCTTAATGTCTATACGGCCTGGGTTCAATCCCCAGCACATCAAAAGAGTAGAAAAAATGAAGCTGGGTATGGTGATGCACACTGTAATCCCAGCATACGGAAGGCTGAGGCAAAGGATCACTGGGAGTTTGAGGCCAGCCTGGACCACATGGCAAGACCCTGCCTTAAAAAATAAAAGATAAAAAAGGAAGAAGAAAATTGTGCTTTGACTAGCCTAAAAAATAATGTCAACAAAGCTGGGTGTGGTGGTGCACACCTATAATCCTAGAATTTGGGAGGCTGAGGCAGCAGGATTACCATGAGTTCAAGGCCAGCCTGAGCTTCATAGTGATACCCGACCTCAAAAAACAAAAAAACAACAAAACAAAACAAAACAAAACAAAACAAAAACTCAACAAAGGCTTTCTTCTGTAGATGACAAGAATGGAAATTACTTCCTGTCTATGCAGTGACATGCTTTTACAATATCATTTATTCTGAGAAGTATAGATTGCTAAGTGATGCAAACTGACATCTGTTCCTTCACCATGATTTTTGGGAAGTAACTTATCTCATGTATTAAAATACTGCAAAATATATATTTAAAAAGGGAAAGATTCAATGGTGACTGCAACAAGGAGAAATAACTGCTATTCTATGAATATTGTTTGTCCTCTTTTCCCTTGTGTGTTCATAAATAGTAGTGTTTATTTGCTCTTCTTTTTGACCTGATTAATCAATAAATAGGCAAGCAATCTATCATCATATTAATTGCTGCTTAAGCATCTGGGTATGGTAGCACAGGCCTATAATCCTAGGACTCAGGAGACTGAAGCAGGAGGATTGCTGTGAGTTCTATCTAGGCCAATTTGAGCTAGATAGGCAGTTCAAGATTGGCCCAACCTATATATCAAGACCCTGTCTCAAGAAACAAAACAAAAAAACTGTTTGATATTCCATACTATAGATGTACTTTAATTTCCCAGTCTCCTATAGTGGACATCTAAATTGAATAGTTTTTATCTTCACACAACATAAGCAGTGAACATCCTTGGATACATCTCCTTACCTGTTAGTCATCTTGCCATAAGTTGTTACGTATGGGATTTCTGGATAAGAGTCACACACAGGCCAAGTATGGCAGCATACACAGGTAATCCCAGGACTGAGGAGATGAGGCAGGAAAATCATAATTTGAACCTATTCCTGGCAACATAGGAGGATCCAGTCTCAAAATGTAAAAAAAAAAAAAAAAAAAAAAAAATTGAGTTTGATGGAGCATGCCTGTAATCTCAGCACTCAGGAGGCTGAGACAGTAGATTTGCCATGAGTTCAAGGCCAGCCTGGGCTACATATTGAGTTCTAGGCCAGGTTGCCCCACACGGCAAGACCATATGCAAAGATCCTGGGTTTAATCGTAATTACTGTTGTGGGGAAAAGGGAAAGATTTGCACAGATTTTAAACTTTTGACCACATTGCTATATGTGGTGTCCTCAACAGCTCTCTAAATTTTGGGGAGTGGGGAGCAGAGAACAGTGAGAAGAGGAAGAAAACAAAGATACAGAAAGCTTCCTCTGGATGAAAGAACTGTTAACCATCACAATGCATTTATTATACAATTGTCCTATGATGCCCCTTTGCTTAACTAGCTACCTCCTATACCCTGTGTTCTCAGGACTGGAACATCTGTTCTCCTCCAGGGCTCCAGGCCCTCAGGGTGTTCCTCAAGTGCTCCCTGCTCTTGGAGTGTTCTTCAGATGCTCCAAGCCCTTGGAGTATTCCTCAGGTGCTCAGCACCCATGAATATCACTCGCACAGCAGCTCCCAACAGCCACATACGTAGGAAAGTGTTAATATTATATTAAATGTATGTTAATCTGTAGGAAGAAATCTATTTGTCCTATGGTCATTAAATTCATTATCCATGATTTATTTTGAATTTAACTTTCACTGAGGCAGAGGAGAATTATACTGGGCAAATATAGTGAAGGAACTCAAACATTGCTTTTCTCTCGGTAGTTTTAAACTGCTTAAAATCCACCTACAGTGAGAGTATTTACCATAGAACAGGATGTCTGTGAATTCCTGTAAATGAACTGTCATGTATCATATAGATATCACATAGTGAAAATGTACTTAATGTCAAAATTCCAAATCATGTATTTTTAAATAGCACTAATTTGAGCAAATTTTATCAAAAACTGAATGCTTAATAATAAAAGGCAAATTTAATGTTTGTCTTCTGGTAAAAGGGAAATATTCCTGCAGAAATAGTTTATGTGTATTTTATAAGAATTTCACTTTTCAATGTCATGTCAAAAATAATTTTTACATAATTGAGTTTAAGGTTTTTAAAACATGTAGGTATAATGTGCTCATTTTAAATTATGCATACTTTAAATAAAATGCTTCTGGCTTTTATGAAAATTCACTCCACTTATAAAATGTTTATGCTATGTAATAAAACCAGGAATTCTTACTATTTAGAATTAAAATTGTTCTTAAGCACGTTGCTTTTATTCTACATGAAAAATTGTACAGAATTATTAAATAAAAAAATATAGCTAGACTGGGGATGAAACTCAAGGGAAAGCACTTGCCTAAGATATATACAACATCCTGGGTTTGATTTCCAGCACTGCAAAAACAAATACATAACACAACAGAGATCATTCATACATTATGATTTCATGTTTATTACAGAGCTTTTGTTTTATTTGTTTTTAATTTTGAGGTTGTTTTGTTTTGTTTTTTGAGACAGACTCTAAGTATGAAGTTTAGGCTGGCCTGAAACTTGCGGCAATCCTCCTGCCTTAGCCTCCCCAGTTCTGGGGTTACAGCTAATGTGCCATCACATTCAGCTCTCTTTTATAAAGAATATTGCAGAGTGGAAAAAGGAGTATTTATAATTTAATAGATGTGGTTTTTAAACATTATATACATTGAATTTAATGATTAAATATAAATTGTAATATTTTCAATAAATGTCAGTAAATATCAAAATAATCATAAGCAGAAAAAATAGTTTTTCGTTGCTTTTTTATTTTGATGGTTTTAGCGGCAGTAAATATAAATCAATATATTTATATAATATATAATCTTAAACACAAATACATTTTTAAATCATTCTCATCCTAATGTAAGATTCAGTAATTTTCTACTTGTTCTAAAGGGTAAAAAAAACTTAAGTCGTATAAAATCTTTCCCAGGCCATAAAAAAATCTCATAATTTCTTGCTAGCAATGGAATTATCAATTCAAAATAACTTCCTTTCAAGTTTAGAGGGTCTTGGTACATTTTTCCCATTATCCAGTTTTACTAAAGAAATACTTGACGGCAGTCTGATTCTTATATCTTTGTAGGTAACCAGTTTCTTTATAGAAACTTCTATGATTTTTTTAAAAAAAATTTTAAGAGAATAAAACCAGACAAAATAAAGTAGAATAAAATCAGTCAAATCAAAACAGTGAAAATGATACAGCATTTCACAAGATAATAGGAAAGTAACAATGCTGTCATAATGCCTCTTGTTAGCTACAAAATAGCTGCTCACCCCCCAAAGAAAGTAATAAGCACTAAGGAGTAATAAAATCCAAGATGTGTAAATTTTGTTGTAAAAAAGAGAGGGAAAAAAAAAAAAAGAAAAAGAGCTCTAACGGATATAACAGCAAGTGTGTTTGGGGGTGTTAAATAGCTGACTTTATCAATGTTTTTGGAACATTGAACACAGCTGTTTGCAGTCTCCCTGTTTGAATGTCCACCATGTGTTCTTTGATACTGTGATTTGAGGAACTATTTTCAAGAAGATAGTGTGTAATCTACTAGCAGGTGATTTCTTACTGTTATGTTTTTTTGTTTTGTTTTGTTTTGTTTTGTAGTTCTGTATTGCGTGTACCCTTACGCCGCTTTGGTTTGTTTTGTGTTTTTCTCTTTTTCCTCTTAACTTAAAAAAAAAAAAAAAAAAAAATAGCTGCTCATACCATCAGACCTAATGAAATCAAATAAAACAGAACAGAATAAAACGATCAAAACAAAACAGTGAAAACTATACAGAACTTTAAAACAAAGTAGTAAGGAATTAACAATAATACCACTTTCTATTTTAAGACAGTTCCTTCCCTTTCACTCTCACAATATCTATTGTACATTTTAGATCCCACTAATTCCTTCAGTTTTTTATACTAGAGAGACAACATAATGTTCAGCTGTGTGAGTCCTAAGCATTTCACCCAACAGCATGATCACAAGTTCCATCCATTTACCTACGAGAGTTCATGAGTATCCTGAGTAGCTTTCCATTATATAAAAATGCCGTTTCTTTCTCACCCTTCTGCGGCTGATGGGCAAGCTACCCCTACTTTTTTCTAGTTCCCTGTCACATGGGATATTGTTTTCTCTCCTTTTTCATTCTGTGATTTTCCTTTCAAGTTAATGTGTTTCTTGTTCACTGCATATTGACGGATCTTGTATTTTGATCCACACTGCCAGTGGTTTTTTTTATTGGTTAATTGAGGCTGTTAATGGTTACAACCAGCATGCACTGGTTCATCTTTGCCATGCTTTTTTCCTGCCCTTGGCTCCCTACTTTTCCTGTCAGTTCCATTGCCTGCCCAACTCGGAAAACAAAAAGGAGACAAGTGGGTCCCCTGTGCCCAGGAAGGATCTGAACCAAGAATTGACTATAGCAGGGGTTTTTTTCCCCTGCTTATATTTTTGGGCGATAGAATCTTGCTGTGTAGTTCAGGCTGGCCTTGCCCTCACTGTGTACCCAAGTTGGCCTCAAATTCATTGCAGTCCTCTTAGTGATTCTTGTTCTGTTTTGTTTTGTTTTTTGAGACACAGTCTTTCTATGCAGTTCAAGGGCCAGGCTTAAGCTCACTGTGGCTTCAAACTCACAGCAATCCTCCTTCCTCAGCCTCCTAACTATTGGGATTACAGGCATGTGCCACCACCCAGCCTCTTGGTGATTCTTAAATGTCAGCTGCTAAGAAAATCAGAAGTAAATCAATTTAGGAAGATGAAAAATTTCTCAGGATGGAGAGTAGTGATGGTACCCCCTGTAATGCCAGCGCTCAGGTGAGGCAGGAGTATCACCATGAGTTCGAGGCCAGCCTTGGCAACAGTGAGTGCAAGGCTAGCCTACACTATGAAGCAAGACTCAAAATTCTGTCCAAAAAATTTTTAAAAAGCAAGTAAGTGTACTTAATGCCACTGTGTCCACTTTAAAATTAAGTAAGACAAAGTCAAATAGAGAAAACTGTCTTTTCCTGGCACAGATTAGCTTTAGCTCCAAATATCAAAATTTTAATGAATCAGATCCTATCATATACTGCAAGATAAAAAACATATTTTACTGAAACGTCAACAGGATGTACACCCAGACATTTTCCTGCAAAGAGCAAAAGGTAGAAATATATTTTAAAGGTTTAATCATTATTTTAAAGCTATATCAATATCTCCACAAAAGAAAACAATTTAGTGGACTACAGATACAAGTCAGTGGTAGAGTGATTGCCTAGTATGCATGAGGTCCTGAGTTTAGTCTCTAGCACCATAAAAAGAAAAGAAGAAAACTTAAAGTATCTTTGTAGCTTTTGGACACTCAGTGCTGTAATCAGTTACAAATTTATGGGCATCTATAATCCCAGCACTTGGGAGGCTGAGATAGGATTGCTGTGAGTTGGAGGCCAGCGTGAACTGCATAGCAAGACCATCTCAAAAAAAAAAAAAAAAAAATTACCAATTGAAGGTGAAAATTGTAATTGCTATTTTCATATAGATAATTATAACTTTTTAGAATTCAAAGTTGTATTAAAGAGACTTTTTTTTTTCTTTGAGACAGGGTCTTACTATGCAGTTCAGGCTGAATTTGAGCTCACTTTGTAGCCCAGGTTGGTCTCCAATTTGCAGTGATGCTCCTGCCTCAGTGCCTGAGGCAGGTATGCAACACCACGCCTGGCTGAGACTTCTTTTCTTTTAAACAGGTTCCAATTTATTGTGCCTAAAGAATGGAACAACAAATACAGACCTGTGTGTATTCATCTTGCGGGAACAGGAGATCATGTAAGATGTTATTGAACATTTTAATCCCTAGATAACTTTTTAATATATTCTCCTTAGCAGATGTGTTTACTGTACTTGTGAAGTATGTCATCTTTTCTCTTTTTAGCATTACTGGAGGAGACGAACACTAATGGCCCGTCCCATGATTAAAGAGGCCCGAATGGCTTCACTGTTGTTAGAAAACCCTTATTATATCCTTTTTGTAATATCTGAGACATATTTTCTGATTCTTATATTTAGTTACCAAAAAGAATTCTAGATCTAGCTTTTCCAGACTAAGTTCAATCATCAGTTTAGAAAATAAGAATGAAGGATTGAAAGATTATTTCAATGTAAGGATCTAAAGATATAATCTAATGTAAGGATAGATTTTCCTTCTGCTCTATAATGATAAATTGTATTTTTACTGCTTAAGGTATGCTTATGTTGTTTTTTAATAAGTCAAATGCTTGCCATTAAACATTTGTGTTTGAAATGCATTTATGGTATCAGTTGAGGCTTAGAATAGTTCTTAACTTAAATTTCAAGATGACAGACTTCACAGAAGAAATGAAACTGACACACAGAGTAAAGAAATATTCAACATTACTGGTAATAAGAGACATGTAAAATGAAAACAATAATTACCAATAATTTTTGAAAATAAAAAACAGCACCGGGGAGGGAGACCTCTGTGTGTTGGGCACCCTCATTACTAATGACTGAAAATCAGTTCAGCCCTACAGGAAAGCATTTTTACCATGTGTTCAAGAACTTTAGAACATCTTTCTTGGTGGAGTATGCATCCACCTGTACTTGTGAAGTATGTGAGGTGGAGTATGCATCAGTGGTAGAACCGTTGCCTAGCATCACCTCAAAAAGGAAAACAGTTTTTTAAAAATGTTACATTCCTTGGCAGAGTGACTTTGATTCTGAGAGATGTATTCTAAGAATAAATTACTAAAATAAAAGAAACCGATAAAAAGTCTACAGCTTTGTTTATAATTGTAAGCTATCAGGAATAAATGTGTATAATAGAGAAATAACAGTAAACTGGTTCATAATATTAGAATTTTGTACAGTTGATTGTTTTTATTGCTGTACTACTTACTACCATTGTGACTTGGATCTATTAACCTTTTTGTACCTCTGTTTTCTCATTAATAAATGGGAATAACTTTTTAGTTTATTCAGAGTATTAAATGCTTACTATAATATAGAATACTACTTAATTAAATAGTAAATATTCCATATGTTTTAACTGTTACTAAAATTTTATAATGTGTGAAAAGTAGTTATGATACAAAAATGGAATATAAAACATACGGTCTCATAGACAGAGTATGTGCCTAGTATGCATAGGCTCTAGGTTCACTCCCAGCAACAAAACAGAAACTATAATACAGACAGCAAAAATAACCCTAGGATTCAAACCAAACAGCTGTTCAAGAGGAAAATACCAGAAGACAATACATAAAATATATCTTGGTTACAGATAAAGTAGTTTTTCTTCTAAATGCTTTTCTAAATTTTTTAGATCTTTATAATAAATAAACTACATAAATAAACTATATCAATAAACTTCATTTTAAATTTAAGATGCAAATTTTACTAATTTGTGAATATTCTGAAAACACTGTACACTTTAAATGGATAAGTATGTGATTACATCTCAGAAATTATATAAAAAGAAAAATAATAAAATTGAACATAGTTGGACATAATGGCACATACCTATACTTCCAGCTACGTAGGAAGCTAAGGCAGAAGGACTACAAATTTAAGACCACCATGTGCCACTTAACAAGGCCCTATCTGATACTAAAAAGTACAGGGAGTGTAGCTCTCTGGGACATCGCTTGCCTCCCGTGACCCCCAGTACTGCCAACAGGGTAAGAAAATCCTGAGAACTTCTTCATAGGTTATGGAAGTAGCTAGATACTATTTATGTCAGTATTAACTTTTATTCAAATTTAAGGATTGTAAGTTAGTATGTTTTAATACAAAAGTTTATTTAATATTTTAAAAACTTTCTCTTTGACCCGTATTCTTAAATGGCTGCAGGAAACCCAAGGACCAAGTGTAAGTATATACACTTTCATTTTTGCAGTTTTTATTCCAGATTTTCAATAATATTAAAATTATTGGTAGCCTTTAGCAAACTATTTCTAAGTTTAATGTCCATGTATTATGAGGAGTGCTATATAAAAGAGTACAAATATTGATTTTAATTAATCTTATTGATTAATTAAATCTAATTAATCTTATTGATTTAATAAGATTTTGCATTTTAAAGTCTGATGAGCTATATAGTAAGGAGTTTTAATAAACTGACTTGATATATTTTATAAAACTATCTGAAGAAATGATAGAAATGATTTTTCCTTTTATAGTACATTTACTTTTTTGTAATTAAATATTCTTATTCTTGCAAAACATAATATAAAAAATCTGAAGATTAAACATTCTTTCCAGGATTTTTAAATTATGAACTTTGGCTATTAGTTTGCAAGTCCATAATTACTATATTGTGCTTTCTTTGGCTGGCTGACTTATTTATTTATTTACTTACTTACTTACTTACTTACATACTTAGTTTTTTAGTTTTCTGAGACAGGATCTTACTGTATAATCTAGGCCACCCTTGAGCTCACTATTACTCCAGGCTGGCCTCAGACTTGTGATATAACCTCAGTGTCCCAACTGCTAGAACTACAGGAATGTGCCACCACACCCTACTCTTTGGTTTAACCCTAGACATGAGAAATACAGCAGCAATAAAAGGTTTTCCAACAGCTTCTACTCACTGGCCAATAAATGCCACAGCACTTTAGGACACACAGCAAGACTCCTGCCTCTTCCCCCAAGATAGAACCTGACCTGTTTAAGTCACTCATACATCTTCTGGAGCCATATAATGTTCTTGAGCCAATTAATGTTCCCCTGGAGCTACACTTTAGGAAAGACTTCCTTGATTCTGCACTAACAGACAGAATTTTGATTGGTTCAGGGACTTCCAGGAAGATAGATGGCAGAGTTGTAAACAGTAGAGAAACAGCCTCTTCAAGATTTGGTGTCCAGATGCTGAAATACAGCAAACACGAAAGGATCTGAAATGAGAATTAGAGCCTTTGACCCACAAGGAGTAGCAAGCAGTACCCTGAGCCCTGACTCACTGCACGGGAGGGCAGCTCGAATCTGCAGACACACAGTGACTACTGGCAACACCAGAGGTCTCCATGGAGAACCACATCAGTGGACCAGAGCTGTGGATACAGCAGACTTCAGTGGCTGATGAGTAATTTGGATTCGGATGTACCTGGGAGAAGGCTATTGACATGATACTTTAGATAGAAGACCCCAAAAATTCCACCAGAATACTTCCAGAGTTAATAACCACGTTCAGTAGCATAGCTGGATACAAAATCAGCGCTGAAAAATGAGTGAAATTCTGGTACACAAATAAACTCACTGAGAGAGAGAGATTAGGTTAAGATTATCTTTCATAATAGCATCCCAAAGAAATGAAACATCTCAGAATCAATCTCACAAAGGGAGTAAAAGACCTACACATTAAAGATTACAGTACTGCCAGGTGTGGTGATACATGCCTTTAATCCCAGGATTCAGGGAGTCTGAAAGAGGAAGATTGCTGTGAGTTCAAGGCTAGCCTGGCTACATACTGACTTCAAGACCAGCCAGACTACGTAGTGAGACCCTGTCAGTAAATATGTAACAAACTATAGTAGTCTAAAAAAGGAGATTGAAGAGGATACTAGAAATGGAAAGATATCCCTTGCGTTTGGCTGGGAAGAATCAATATAGTGAAAATGGCCATAATTCCTAAATTCTTACACAGATTTAATGCAATGCCAATAGAGAAAACAGTCCTAAAATTCATTTGTAAGCAGAAGAGACCTAGAATAGCAAAGGCAATCATGGGCAACAAAGGCAAGGCAGGAGTCTTACAGTCCCTGAGTTGAAGTTATCCTATAAAACACAGAGCCACTTTATCTTTGACAAAGGAGCCAAACCCCTTCACTGAAAGAAATATGTAGTCTCTTTAATAAGTGGTGTTGGAAAAACTGGCTTTCCACATCCTAAAGATTAAAACTAGATCCATATCTTTCACCATGCACTAAGCAAAAATTGAAATGGATTAGAAATCTGAATATTAAAACAAAACATTAAATCTGCCGGAAGACAAAATAGAACGCTAGAAGACAGTTGTGTAGGCAAAGACTTCATGAACAAAACCTTAATCACATGGGGAGCATCACACAGAATCAACAACGGGGATCTCTTATTAGTTTTAGCACATCAAAAGAAATACCAATAGAGTGAAGAAACAATGCACAAGTTCGGAAAAAAATTTTCCCAGCTGTTCTTCAGACAGAAGACTACTATCTAGAATATATAAAGAACTCAAAACATCAGACCTCCCAGATTTAAAAATCCAATCCCAAAATGGGCATCTAAAATGAATACTCAGGTCTCAAAATAAAAATGGGAAATTAAAATATGAAAAATGTTTAACATCATTGATCATTCAAGAGATGCAAAGTAAAACAACGCTGAGATTCTAGCTCCACAAAGAATGCTGTTATCAAGAAGACAACTAATGACATGCTGGTGGGGCTGTGAATAAAAGGGAACCCTTCTCTTCTGTTGGGAGTATAGAGTGCTGCAACCGTTGTGCAGTCAGCATGGAGATTTCTCAAAAAACTAGGACTGGAGGTCCCATTAGACTCAACTATTCCTCTTTTCTGGTATCTTCCTGAAAGAATTAAAAACATCATAATACAGTAATAAATATACAGCCATGGAAATAACTCAAATGCCTATCAACACATGAGTTTATAAATATGTGGATTTTTTATACAATAGAGTACTACTCTGCCATAAAGAAGGATAAGCTTGAGATTAGCTAAATGGATTCACTCTGAGACCATATTCTTTTTGTTTTTTAAGTGAAGTAAATCACACACACACGTTTAAATACTACATTGTTTCTCTGGTATAAGAAACCAAAAATGTAAATGAGGACCGAAATGTGTAATAGATATTGAGAAATGGGGAAAAATGTTTAATTGAGAAGAGGAACAAGAAAGGGTAAAGCGAAGAAGGGACACAAAAAGAATAGAAGGAAAAATGGAAACAAAGCTTTTGTACAAATAAGGAAGGAAAGGAGTTGTTGAGAAGGGATGGGAATAGGAAAAAAATGTACAGGTACAGATTTACTGATGAATGATGAATGTTATCATTGTGTGCAACTAAAATGTACCGATAGGGCCAGTATATAGCTCAGCAGCATAGCACCTGTCTGGAAAATGTTATGTCCTGGGTTCAATCATCAGTACCAAAAAGTAAAAATAAAAATAAAATGCACCAATAAAAAAGTAATAGGAGGTCTCCCGCCAGGATTGTGGTGCACACCTCTGATCCCAGCTCTGGGGAGGCTGAAGCAGATCCCTGCAAGTGCAAGGCAAGCTTGAACCTACATAGTGAGACCTTGTCTCAAAAACAGAACAAAACAGGACTGTTTTTGTTGGAGATTTCGGATTTAGACAAGATGCACATTGGGAATCTTTTTTTTTTTTTTCATTGTAGTTATTTGGTGTTATATAAGAAGCTTTCCTTACCTGTATGTTGGAATTTTCCTCATACTTGGGAAGTTTTCTATTATGATTTCTATAAAAAGCCTTTTTATTCCCATGTATACTGTCTTCTAATTACTAAGTCCAGTTATCCTTAGATTGGTGTTCTGAGTCGTCCATAAGCTGTTGAATGAATTTTTCTTGTTCTTTTACCATTTTGAAGAATTCTCTGAGTAATTTGTCACAATTTACCATTTTGTCTCAAGTTTCAGAAACCCTGCTTCACATTGGTTATTTCTGCAGTTAATGAATTTTACATAATTTCTTATCTCTAGTAGCTCTTTCTGACACCTTTTTGTAAAGTTTATATCCTTGGTAAATTTGCCAGCCAAGTTTTGAACCCTTTGGTTAGCTCTTCCAATTTTTTATTTGTTCCTTAAATATTCAAATTGATCATTTTTTCTGTATTAGTTTCATTATTTTGGTTTTGTTCAAAGCTGACCTCAACTACACAGTGCAGCTCTGTCTTCCAAAAAGCAAAATAATAAATAGTAAAAACAAAAATGTTTTTGAACAGTTTGACCTAGGTTTATCATTATAGATAACTGTACTGCCGTCACTCACGTCAGTATCTTCTATGGAAAAGAACAAAGTGGGGTGGACTCGAGAATTCAAGACCTCCACACAATGCAAAAATTATCCCAGCACTTGGAAACCTGAGACAGGAAGATTGCCGTAAGTTTGAGGCCAGACTGGGCTACATAAGAGTAAGTTCAAGGCCAGCCTTGGAGTGAGACCCTGTCTCAAAAATGAATACATAGATAGGAGAATTTTATAATCAGATATAGAAAAGTAGCTGTGGATATGAAACAAAGACAAGCATGAGTGTGATATATTTTGATGGAGGAAAGCATAAAGAGAAGGCCTGCCTTCTGGTAGGTCACTGAACAAAAACTTATTTGGGGCCAGTATTGTTCTTCCACTTGGCATTTCTCATGGCATCGGAGTCCTTGCACATAATTATCATTTACACACATAGTAAATAATCATTCATAAAATGAATTTTTGTTCCCTTTAACAAGATTCCATTCAGTAGCTAGTTATATCATTACATTTTTTTCATATAATTTGAATTTACAAAAATAGATTCTGATTTGGTCACTTTAATGAAATATATTCTATATCACTATAAAAGGATGGTTCTGGAATCTTGTTTCTTACTTATAAGGAAATACACTACTGAGTGTGGTGGTGCATGCCTATAATCCTACCTGCTTAAGCCGAGAAGGATCACAGGTTTGAGAACAGCCTAGATAACTCAGCAAGACCCTGACTCAAAAAAGAGGACCAAGAATATTGCATATTGCTAGACTGGTTCTGGGCCAGTCACTGGTACTTCAAAAAAGAAAGAGTAGGTTGGGTGAGAAAAGAGAAAAGAAAAATATATGTAAACAGTTTCTAAAAACAACATTATGGTTTAATTTACACATATATTTTTATAAAACTTGTATTTTCAATAATATATACATAAATTGTGTATTTTGTGAAAATAGTATATTTAGGATTTCAATAATACATCATTAATATTAGGTTACCTTTACTTTGCTTTTTTAAAAACAATGTGATGCTTTGCCAGGTGTAGTGGTGCATGCCTATATAGTCCCAGCACTTGGGAGGCTGAGGCAGGAGGATCACTGTGTGTTCAAGGCCAGCCTGAGCTACATAGTGAGACTTGTCTTAAACAAAAAAGGTTATATAAAGGTATGTAAAGGTAATGAAAAAATTCTTTTTAAAGTGGAAGAAAACTATAAATTTGCTTTTCTTAGAAACGCTAAACAGTGTCAGCATAGAAATAATTATTTTTCCAGTGCCAGATGTGGTGGCCCATGCCAGTAATCCCAGCACTGAGGAGGCTAAGGTAGGAGGATTGCCGCAAGTTTGAAGCAAGCCTGGACTCCATAGAGAGTTCAAGGCCAGCCTAAAATATACAGTGAAACCTTGTCTTAAACAAACAAAAAGAATTTTTCTATAAATATTAAACATTTTTAAGATGAAATCTAATTTTTAATTGAAATTCAATAAATACATGCTATTGAACAATTATATACTTTTTTAAGTTTTAGGCAATTAGTATGTAGAACAGTATTAGTGGTACTCATAATTTATTCCATTGTTTTACTTTGTTTAAAAGGAAAACATGAAATCCAGCCACCTGATGTAAATCTGCATATATTAAAATGTACATGTGCCAGGCATGGTGGCGCATATCTATAATCCCAGCACTCAGGAAGGTGAGGCAGGAGGATTGTTGCAAGTTCTAGACCAGCCTGGGCTACAAAGTAAGCTCAACGCCAGCCTGAACTGCACAGCAAGACCCTGTCTCAAAAAGACAAAAATAAATAAATAAAATAAAATGTAAATGCATGAAATGTTCATTTCCTATTTTGTTTTGTGAGACTAGGAGGTCCAGCTTAAAAAATGTGTCTGACCTTTTTGTGATGGGAGGAGCTCTTGTTTTAGAATCTGCAGCTCTCTTGCACTGGCTAGAGCGGGAAGGCTATGGACCTTTAGGAATGACCGGAATATCCATGGGTGGACACGTAAGCCGTTTTCAATTTTTATTTCATTATGATTATAAGACCTAGCAAATCCAGTTATTTTAGAATTTTTCGTTAGGTATTGAGTTAACTTGAGTCTTGGTGAAGGTAGGAAGGAGAAATAAATCCATTCCAATTATGAAGTGGTGATTTTTTGTGTCATATATCTAGATATTTAACTGTACTATTCTACCTTACAGCTTAGATACTGGACTTAATAGTCTCTTAAAAATTGATTGTAAAGTTTAACCTTTGAGGTGTTGTCTTAGTTATTTTTTTATCCTTGAGACAAAATACCCAACACCCAGAGTTAGAGGAAAGGTTTATCTCACAATTTGTAGAGGTTCAGTCTATAATCTGCTGGCATTAAAGCAGGGTGACTTAGCAGAGGGACATCACAAGTTCATGGCAAGCAGAAGACAGCAAAAGCAACAAGGGTTGACCACAACTTGGCTACTTAGGGCAAGTAGCACTCACATCCTTAATCCTCGTGTGCTTGAGCCTAACACTGAACCATGAATTGATCTCAGCATCATGAACTGACCCAACTACCTCTAGAAAAGCTCCATGTGTGCACATAAGGTTTGCAGGGACATCTAGACACAAGACATAGAATTCTGTCCCTGGCCCCTCAAAGACTCATGCACATTTCTTTATGTAAAAGGCATTTAGACTAAGTTGCCAAAGTCTAAACAGTTGTAGCATTGCTAACAGGTCTTAAGTCTAAAGTCTCCTCTGATATTTAAAGCAAACTCTTAGCTGCAAGCTCCTCTACAAATGAAAAGAAAGTTATATGCTTACAGCATTTAATGGCACAAGATAAACTTTTTTAATTTTAAAGAGAAAAAAACAATTTCAAAACAAGATAATAGGAGAGTAACAATAGTGAACACATTATGTATTGTTATCTTCAGAGTAGTTACTCAGAGTACAAGATATAGGCATGCAATGTTGTCCAAACAGTATTAGCATGAACCTTTCTTTGTAATGAACTAAAAGAAACTGTCTTAACTATCTTGTGTGTATGTATGTATATATGTGTGTGTGTGTGTGTGTATATTCCTCCTTTCTCTTCCTTCCTTTCCTCCCCCCGCCCCGCCCCACAGTTAACATTTTTATTTTAAAAGTTACAAATGAGGATAGCAAGAAATGGGAACACAGCAAGACTAAAATCTAGCAGGGCAAACGTTAAATTCCACAGTTCACTTCTAGCATCTTTGGCAACCTGTGGCAAATTGTGAACTCTAAAGAGCATAGGTGGCTCTGCCCCATGGCACTCCTTGTGGCTGTAGCTCTCATGGTGTTGTTCTTTGGCTGCTTTTGCTCACTCTTTGTAATTGTCTTTTGACCATCCATATTCCTGTCTTTTCTTACCTTCTGGGGTCTCTACTGTACCTTTGGCTTTGCATTTACAGCTTTACACACTGCCCTGCTGGGGATACAATGCCTAAAAGGCCTTCTTTGGAAATCTGGTTGGAAACCACCCTGACCCCACAAGTCTTGCATTCTGTATGTGCCAGAAACCAGCACCGCATAAAAACAAGGTCTGCTGCCAGCTTGAGCAGTAACCAGGCGAGCCAGAGAGAGATACAGCTCAGCACAGTGCCTGCCTGGCAAGTGTGAGGTCATGAGTTTAATCCTGGTACCAAAACAAACAAAAAATTACCTGGCAGAAGCCAGGGTTTTTTGTCTCTTGGCTGTGGGGGCCAGTGCCTATGAACTAAATCTTGAGAAACAACTCTTCTAGGCTGCAGCCATTCAGGAACATGATGCTATAGCAGCTCTTCTCAGAGCAAAGGGTTACTTGTATAATTTTGAGACTGAAAAGGTTGGAGTCTTGTTACTTTTTGTGATGCCCTCAGGCCATTTTTTTTTTGTTCTCCTATTCTCTGAAGTCAAGATCTCTACTTTTTTTTTTTTTTTTTCCCAAGACAGTGTCTCACTGTGCAATTCAGGCTGGCCTTGAACTCACTTTGTAGCCCAGGCTGATCTCAAACTTGGGGTAATCTTCCTGCCTCAGCCTCCTGAGTGCTGGGATTATAGGCATGTGCCACCACACCTGGCTTCTCTATTTTTGCAGTCCACAGCTTTATTGGAGCTTCCTTTCTGGCCAGATGCACACAGGTTCTAAATCATTCCCTGGAGGCTGAAACAGGAGGATCGCCATGAGTTCAATCCTAGCCTGAACTACACAGCAAGACTCTCTTCAAAAAAACAAAACAAAACAATAACAATAAATCATTTTCCTGAGCTCTTTGCTCTTGATTTTCATCACAAATCTGGTTAAAAGTCCCCAGCGGTAGCCATGCCACTACCTCAGCATTCTACCATCAATGTACTCCTCCTCCTCAGCAGAAACCTCCTGAGCCTGATCTTTACTGGCAGGATTTCTATCAGCCTTCTGTTCTTTGAGCTCTAACCAAAATTCCCCATCCAAATATTTCCTAAGGCATTTCAGCTCAACTATTTCAGCCAGCATCTCTGAATCTTTCTAAACTCTTCTCACAAGCCATTTCTAAAGGCTTTTTAACCACATAGTCATGTATAGTCACAACAGTGACCCCACTTCTGGTACCAAATTCTGTCTTACTTTTTTTTTGTTGCTGAGACAAAATACCTGATACCCAAAGTTAAAGAAGAATAGGTTTATTTAGCTCACAGTTTATAGTAGTTTTAATCTATAACAAGCTGGCTCAAAGGTGGAATGGCTTGGCAGTGGGGCAGCTCAGAGGAGAACCAGGTCATGGCAAGCAGAAAACAGCAAAAGCATCGAGGGTTAACAACAACTCTTTCTATTCTTATATTTTATCCAGGCTACTTGGGATGGGTAGCACCCACACCCTTAATCCTAGTGCCCTTGAGCACAGCATTACACCATAAATCAATCTCAGCATCACGCATTTTATGTGCATCTAGCCACCTCTGAAAAAGCTCCACCTGTGACTACACCTGACTTTGGGACATCTAGACACAACCATAACAAATGTCAAATAGAAATGCCCAGTTTTGTTGTTAAATTGATCAAAATATCTGCATTTTCTTTTTTTCTTTTTTTTCTCCTTATCGGTACCGGGGATCGAACTCACGCCGCTGAGCTATATCCCCAGTCCCCTTTTTTTTTACTGGTACCTGAGATTGAACTCACAACCGCCTGCTTGCAAGGCAGGTGCTTATACCGCTGAGCTAAATCCCCAGCCCCAAGATATCTGCATTTTCATTTATCTCTTCACTCCCACTACCACCAGCATATTTTACCTTTGTCTTTCAGAATATGCCAAACCAACTCCTAACTGGTTTCTGTGGGGTTAGTCTGTTCTCAGTGTTTTACACGGATGCACAACCACACCCAGCTCATTAATGTTTTAAAATACTTTCCTCTACATTGTAACTAGAATACTGTTTCTCTGATCCCTGCTCTCTCCCGATCAGAACCTGCCTGAAGTTTGGTTTTACATTAGACTCTAGCTGTGCTGGCTGCTAGCATCCTGTCCCCTTTAATGCCTTTTACCTAAGTGAACAGCAGCTTCTCCTTCTAGTTCCAGTTCAGAGCTTCCTTTCTTTGAGAAGATGTTTCTACTCACAGCCTTACCTCCATACTGCATGCTTCATTAGTACTTAATCTTTTTTCCATTAATTTTAACTACTTTATTAGAATTTTTTATTTTTATTAGTGCATGTTTCTAATGTAAAATGATTTCATTCATCATGGAGAGTTGGTACATGTACATAATATAGCTTAAATCTTTTTACATAGCCTTTCATCTCTCATTAGTACTTTTTATCACACTATAATTACTTGTTTACTTTTATATAGTGATAGCCCTTAACTTCAGACTCCTACCCATGGGATTTTGTAGTGGTTTTTGTTGTTCTCATTACTTTTTGAGACAGGACCTTGCTCTATAGTTCATAGTGGTCTTGAACTCGCTACATAGTCCAGACTTACCTTGAACTCACAGTGATCCTTCTGCCTCAGCCTCCCTAGTGCTGGGACTACAGATATGTGCCACCATGCCTAGCCCACCCATCTGTTGAAGTTAGCAATTTTTTTCTCCATGAAGCAGCTGCTTCAATGAGAATTCAGAATATCCTTTGTTTGCTATATGGCATGTATTAGTTATCCAACAGATTTTTTAAAACAAGTGTATGAATTTTTCTAAACGTCATTTTAATTATTTAAGTTTTTAAAAATTTACTCAAATTCATTGCAATTACCAGTGAAATTAAGGAATTAATAGGTAGGAAAATAAATCTTTTTCTACCTACTAATATTTCTGTTGTAGTTTGGCATAACTGACACCATCTTGAGCCCTGTATTTAACTAGTGCCCTGTATTTGACCCCCAAAATAAAAAATTACCTGAAGTATAAGTCCCCTAAAGAAAGCAAAATAAGCTGTATCCACACACAAAATTAACCTGCTTAACAAAAGAAACAGGAAACAGGTGTCAACCAAAAATTAATACAAGATTCTAGCTAAATTGTTTCCAACAAGATGTCTTTTTATGGTTTTCTGTTTTAAAAGATTTATAACTTTCCAGTTCAGTGCCGCTCGGTGAGACTCTAACATGGGTCCACGCAATTGGTTGCTGAGCTCAGCTAATTAAATTCCAAATTTATCAATTTGGCTGCTTAGATTCCTATATTGTTTATAGACCCACTTAAGTTTCCATTGTTATGACCTGGGTTACTGCCTAATAAGTGATCTCTTACCTCAGATCTCAACTCCTAATTGAAAATTGGAACACATTAGCTTCCTTGAATCACTTTCACAATCCTATTCTTTGCTTGTAACTCTTAATTTCCTACCAAAGGAACCACTAATCGGATCCTGATGTCTTTCCAGCTCTACCATTTTCGGTTGCTCCAGTGACCACATAAACCTATTGGCCAGCCAAACAGAAAGATAATAGTTGTTCCTCTAACCCACGCTATACTTCATTACCATCTTGATTTTAAATAAATGGCTGAAAAGATTCAGACAGTTCTTGAAGCCTTTTTGAACTTCTCTGACTGTTAAAACCAAAAATAACTTTTCCTTTCTTTATACACATATATTACATTATTTTATATCCATTATATAATCTCTGTAATTCACCAAATTCTTAGCCACCTCAGTCGCACCTTAAAAGTGTGCGATTTTCTGGTTGTAATCTTGCTATATCTGAGCAAGTCACTTAGGTAGTGAGAGCACTGAGCCCACTGCCTAACGTCCACGTCTCAGCACCTGTGTTCTGTACGTAAGTGATACACAGTAGTTGTTGGTGAGTGATCTTCAAGTTCCTAAAATTTTTATTTCTAAATTGCTGAATTTTAAGATTTGGGGTTTAGGGGCTGGAGATTTAGCTCAGTGGCATTGCAAGCAGGCAGTCGTGAGTTCGATCCCTGGTACCGATGAAAAGGAAAAAGACAAAAAAAAAAAAAGATTTGGGGTTCAATATCATTTTGTCTCATTAGTGTGAGAAGCTGAAAGAAACAACATATGTATGAATATATGTATATAAAAAGTATGATAGTTATACTACTGGTTTCTCTGAGTTCACTGAAGAGAAAGATTTGTGCTGATACTATTTGGACAATTGAATGCAGATGTCTTGTGCTCTGGATGAACTGGGGAGACAAAGTGCAATGTATGTACCATTGTTGCCTGCCTCCTGACTGACGTGTTTTGAAATTTTGTTTTAGTTTTCTTTATTTTTTTCTCCTTGAAATAAAGTGAATTTGGAAAAAAAAAAGATTCAGGGTTTAACAAAATCATTAGATACTCTCACTGGTGATTATGGACTTGTGTTTGTGTCTTACCTCATCACCTACTTCCTACACAAAGTTCTTAGCATTAAATATTTTTAATTTTAATGAACAAGCAATTTAAAATAAGCTCTCTCAACTGGTTTGTTATGTTACAGATGGCCTCCTTAGCAGTATCCAACTGGCCTAAGCCCATGCCATTGATTCCGTGTCTGTCTTGGTCCACAGCATCTGGAGTGTTTACTACGGTAATTTAATTGCACTTATTATTTAGATAGCTGTATGTATAATTAACAGCATTGGTTGGCTTATTCCATAGAAGGGGTTAATAAGACTCACCATATATTTGTATTCATGACCAAGACTTAATTACAGCAAAAGGAAACAACACAAAACCAATGAAAACGAACACTAGGCAAAACCTGGTGCAAACGTCCCACAGTCTTCAACCAGTGGAATCCTACAGTTTGTGTTTGATTTCTCCAGCAGTAAGTTGTGACAAAGTGTGAAAAGAACTATATCTATTCCCTGACCTTAGTGGACCAGGGATTTTAGTCAGGTATCAGCGAGTTAGGTACCCTCTGCCTAGCATGTACCAAAATTCCAGAGGGAAATTAGGATTAGGCAAAAACTACATTGCTTGTACAAACAGCATAGGTACAAATAATCCACTCTGTACATTTAGGGGAAGTTTATATTGGTGTAAATCAACATCTTACCACTCAATTTGCCTGACTCGTTAATCTGCTATTATCTCTCTTTTACACAAGATTAGTAAGTATTGAAGACAATGTAGTATGATTTGCTCTTATTTTTATTATTTTAGGGAGTATTGAGTAAATCAGTTAATTGGAGGGAGCTGGAGAAGCAATATTACACACAGACGGTTTATGAAGAAGAAATTATTCACATGCTTGAGTACTGTGGAGTAAGTATTTTACTAACATAACATTAAGGGAATGTTGATTGTGTATTTAATGACTTAAATTTTAACTACAAGAGCCAGGCATGTTGCACATGCCTGTAATTTCCACATTGGCAGAGGCTCTAATTTGAATCTCACCAAAGTAACTTAGCAAAACTGTCTCGAAATATAAAAGTAAACAAGGCTGGGGATGTAATTAGTTACAGTAGAGCCACCCTTGTTTGATCCCCGGTATCACCAAAATTTTTAAAAATTAAAAATTTTAGGAGTTGGTGCATGACTGTAATCCCAGCACTGGGGAGACTGAGGCAGGAGGATTTCTGCAGGTTCAAGGCCAGCCTTAGCTACATAGTGAGTTCAAGAGCACCTGAACTGCACAGCAAAACATTGACTCAAAAAAAAAAAAAAACCCCAAAAACAAAGGAAAGAGAAACAAATGAAAAAATTTTAAAAGTATCATTGTTTTAAAAATACATGCATAGAATGTTGAGCTTTTAAGAATTCTTGGTTTTGTTTTGTTTGTTTTCTTTTGTGTGTGGTTTTTTGGGGTTTTTTTGTTTTTATTTTGTTTTTTTGGTACCTGGGATTGAACTCATGATCTTGTGCATGCCAGACAGGCATTGTGTCACTGAGATATGTCCTCTGCCCAGATTCTTCATTTAAAATACAACATATACAGAAAATCATGCAAACCAAACATGCAGCTAATTACATTTATTAAAAAGCAACCACAACCAGGCAAGGTGGCTCACACCTGTAAGCCAGCACTTGGAAGGCTGAGGCAGGAGGATCATTGTGAGTTCAAGACCAGCCTAGGTTACAAAGTGAGCTCAAGACCAGCCTGAACTGCATAGAGAGATGCTGCCTCAAAAAGACAAAAAATAAATAAATATTAAAAAATAAAAGCAACCACAACCAGGAATGGTGGCTCACACCTATAATCCCAGCACTGGGCAGGTTGAAGAAGGATACAGAGTTTGAGGCTAATCTGAGCCACACAGTGAGCTCAAGGCCAGCATGGAGTACACAGCAAGACCTTCTTTCAATAAATAAATTAATTATGCCTACTGTGGTGGCGAATGCTTGTAGTCCCTCTCAGAGCCTGAAGCAGGAGAATTGCAAGTTCAACCCCAGTCTGGACAAGTTAGTAACTTAGAGAGACCCTGTCTCAAAGTAAAAATAAATAATTCAATATGAAGATCTTGGGTTCAATCTTAAGTATCACTACTACCAAAAAAAGGAGATAAATGATTGATTCTTTTCCTTATAGTTTTCAGGATAATGAATTGGTTGTTACTTCCCAAACGTGACCAATTCTTTTCATGAATGTAAAAATTTTGCCTAGTTTGAGTTACTGATAGTCTTAAGAAATTTCATAAAGTAAAGGAATCTTCCATCAATGAGGATTTTATGATTATACCGCTATGAACCTAACACTTGTAAAATCAGGACTTTGTTACTCATTTCTTTTTGAGACAGAAGTCTTACTTTGTTACCCAGGCTGACATTAAACGTGAAATCCTCCAACCTGAACCCCCCAAATAGCTGGGCTTAAAGGCATTTGCCACTGTGCCTAGCTTTCATCAATCTTCCATCATCTCAAATGGTAATTTTTGCTTCCTTAAGAACTTCATTACAATTCGCTTTACCTACTAATGAGTTCTTTGTGCTCCACTGTACCTGGAGCCAAAAAGATACATATATTTGTAAGCTTCTGAGAAAAATGTGTTTTGTAAGGGAAGTTCATAAATTCTAGTTTGAAATGGCAGCATAGGCTTACCAAGCACTTCTTGTGTCCTCTAGAACCAGTTCACAGTAATGAACGTTCAAAAAATGTTAAGATGACTTCCTTATTGTTTGTGTTTTCACAATCAAAAGAGATTAAACTTAGCTTAGCCCAACATTCTCGTGGACTGAGGCAGGAAAATTCCAAACAGCCCAGCCTGAGCAACTTACCGAGAACCTTGTCTCAAGATAAAAAATAATAATAAAAATTTTTAAAATGGATTGAGGAGTAGAAGCTCAAGTGCAGAGGCCTTGGATTCAATCCCCAATACTACAAAAAGTTTAAATTTATTGATGTACCCCTGTGAATATCTAGAACCCATTAATTCTGCATTTCCTTTATTTTTTTTTGAGGGCTTGATAGTGAAGTCCAAGCTGGTCTTGAACTAACTGTGTAGCCCAAGTTGGCCTCAAACTCATAGCACTCCTCCTTCGTTAGCCTCCTGACTGCTGGGTTACAGCCTTGCCTGCTCTCTTTTTTTAATGGACACTCACAGATGTTTTCTTGGGTTTTTGAGGGGTTTTTGGTACCAGGGATCATGACCTCACATTTGCCAAGCAGGACTTTCACTGCTGAGCTAAACCCCTGGCTCTGTTTCGTTGTTTTTTACTGCTATATAATGGTTTATTGTATAGATGGATATACCACAGCTTAGTAACAGGTAGCCTGTTGGTAGACATTTATATTGTTTTCTCACCTTTCACTGTTAACAAACAGTACTGCAATAAGTAACTTAGTGCATATATCATTGTGTAAGTGTTAAGTCCTGGAAACATTGCAGAGTGAAAGGATATATGACCTGTAACGTGATTGGATTTTGTCTAATTCTAATTGTGTTCATGTATACTGTCAGGAAGAAGGAGTTTCCCAAATAACTCACCAATTCGGTGTCACCAAATTTGTGGATTTTTAAAAAATAAAATGGTAGCCAGGAATTTAGCTCAGTGGCATAAGCTCCTGCCTTGCAAGCACTTGGTTGTGAGTTCGATCCCTGGAAAGAAAGAAAGAAAGAAAGAAAGAAAGAAAGAAAGAAAGAAAGAAAGAAAGAAAGAAAGAAAGAAAGAAAGAAAGAAAGAGAGAAAGAGAGAGAGAGAGAAAGAGAGAGAGAAAGAGAGAAAGAGAGAAAGAGAGAGAGAGAGAAAGAGAAAGAAAGAAAGAAAGAGAAAGGAGAGAGAGAAAGAGAAAGAAAGATAAAATGGTAGTAGAAAATAGTAGGGTTTTGTAAGTCTTAAACATAGAGCATACGTTTGAGATTTCCATAGGCAATATATTTTTCCTGATTTTATGGTACCAGGGATTAAACATAAGACTTGGTGCATCACAGCAGGTGTTCTACCAGCCCTTTTTTTAATGTTGATTTTTTTGGTCTCACTGTGTGATTCAGGCTGGCCTTGAACTCACTATGTAGTTTAGGCTGGCCTCAAACTTTTGATCCTGCTGTCTCAGTCTTACAAGTAGCTGAGATTGTGGACATGCCCTATGATTCTCAGCTCCCTGATAATTTTTATTTATTTATTTTTTTGTTTGTTTGTTTTTGTCTTTTTATCGGTACCGGGGATCAAACTCAGACTGCCTGCTTGCAAGGCAGGCACTTATGCCACTGAGCTAAATACCCAGCCCTCCCTGATAATTGTTAATTCTTGTGTGTTCAGTCTGAGTAAGGGACAATACGTAGCTGGTGTCTTTGTGAGCTTATATTTACATTACTTCCCGTATATACTCATAAGACTTCTAGAAGTTCTAAGGTGAAGGCAGATTATGGAATTTCAAACTCTCACAATAAAACATGACACAGACTGATACCCCATTTTGTTGTGTAGGAAACATTCAGCAGTAAATACATGTCACTTATCTTAACCCTCCATTAAATTTTGACCACATTTTTTAAAAATCATGGTGAATCTATCCAACATAAAATTTGCCATTTTAACTATTTCTAAGTGTACAGTAACATTGAGTATGTCCACACGGCTGTGTGGCCATTACCATCCCTCTCTAGAACTTTCCATGTTCCCAAATTAAATCTGTCAACTGAAGTGTAACTCCCATTCCTCCCTGTCCTAGCCCTGACAACCACCATTCTCTTGAATTTAACTGCTGAGGAGACCTCACAAGAATAGAATCATACAGCGTTTATCTTCTTTTTTGCCTTATTTGGCACAGGGTTTCACTGTATAGTCCATGCTGGCCTCAAACTTGCAGTCTCCCTGCCTAATTCTCCCAAGTGCTGGGATTTCGGGCACGCACCACCACAAACGGCATTATTTGTCCTTTTATGTCTGGTTTATTGACCTAGCATAATTTATAGAGTTCATCTTTGTTATAATATGTGTCTGAAAAAGGAATTTAAAATTTTAATTTAAAAAAATTATTTCCTTAGGGGCTAGGATTTAGCTCAAGTGGCATAAGCACCTGCCTTGCAAGCAGGCAGTCGTGAGTTCGATCCCCGGTACTGATAAAAAGGAAAAAGAAAAAAAAAATTATTTCCTTTTTACAATAATGCTCTATTGTATATATATGTGTATATATGGTAACATTTTGTTTATCCATTGATGGGTATTTATCTTTTTATTTTAAAAAGATTGTTAAAGTTGTATGAAATGTATTATATTAAATGGCTTTTTTCTTTCATATATTCAGACAGATTCTTTCAAAATGGGACAAGAGTTTGTGAAACACTTCCCAAGCAGTGCAGACAAGTTGGTTTCCAGGAGTTTAAATTTAGATATGACAAACCAAGTTGTGTCCCAGCAACCTGCTGAGTGCCAAACCTCTAGTAACACACCTATCAGTGCTACGTCAGAAGGACTTTTGTTGCAAGATGCCTCTAAGATACACTGCCTGAATCGAACACTTTCAGCTGACAAAAATAATTATACAAGGTACAGCCCTCAGTCATACCAGGTCCTCAGCAAAGAACAAAGAAGAAATAATCTTCAAAGAGAATCTTTAATATTTATGAAAGGAGTCATGGATGAATGTACTCACGTAGCAAATTTCTCAGGTACTAATTTTTATATGTAATTGAGAATATTTGCTGTTCTGTAGATATTTGTGAAATGTTTTAAAGAAGCTTTACAAAATTTCATGTTTTAAAGGAAATATTTTTTTGTGCTAGAATGTGTTCTCCAAGTTAAACTGTTCATTTTCTTTTTTTTTTTTTTTTTTTTTTTTTTTTTTTTTTTTGAGTGTGTGTGTCTGTGTGGTTATTTTTGGCTGGGGAGGTCGGGACTGGGGATTGAATTCATCCTCACACTTGCCAGGAAAGTGCTGTGCTGCTGAGCTATATCCCCAGCCCCTAAACTGGTCATTTAAATGTGTCATATTTTATCAATGAAAACCTTCCTATACCATTTTTTTTGTGTTGTTCTGTGTTGAGACAAAGTCTTGCTGTGTAGTCCAGGCTGGCCTTGAACTCACAGTGACCCTCCTGCCACAGCCTCCTGAGTGCTAAGGTTACAGGCTTGCACCAGCATGCTTAGCTATTTTACCTATTTAAAAATACATCAAAAGGGATGGGCTGTGGCTTAGTGATAGAGCATGTGTCTAGCACGCACAAAGCTCTGGGTTCAATCCTCAGCACCAAAAAATAACACCAATAAATAAAAATACACTGAATCTTACATCTTTAGAAAAACATCTTGTATTAAGGATCAGTATTACTATAATGTAGTATATTTAAAACTTAAAGAGTTTAACAAATGTTTCACTTAATGGCACTGTATTGTGTGGCATATTTTCTCATAGGACTTACGGTACTTGTATAAAATCTTAGACCTTTTTAATGTGTAAAAATCCCTTCCTTAGTTCCAGTTGACCCAAGCCTCATTATAGTGGTACAAGCCAAAGAAGATGCCTATATTCCACGAACAGGAGTTCGAAGTCTACAAGAAATCTGGCCTGGTTGTGAAATCCGCTATCTAGAAGGGGGTCATATTAGCGCTTACCTTTTTAAACAAGGACTCTTCAGGTAAGATGACTTTTCTAAACAGGTGCTTGTTTTTATCTCAACAATTAGGAAAGATTAGGCTTTTTTTTTTTTTTTTTTTTTCCTTCATTTTGAGACAGGGTCTCTATCCAGTGCAGGCTGGCCTTGAGCTCACTTTGTAACCTAGGTTGGTCTCAAATTGGAAAAGAGCCTCCTGCCTCAACCTCCAGAGTGCTGGGATTACAGATGTGAGCCACCATGCCCAGCTCAGGTTAGGCATTTTTATTGCATATTTTAGTCCTTTTATTTTCTTTTTGCCTTCCACAAATCTCACAGTGAGGTATTTTCCCTCCTTTTCTACCTTGCCTTTTGTTTCTTCTTGTAGAAAATCAGGAATATAGGTTATCCTAGGCATGTCTTACCAGGTGGTTTTACCCCCATTAAGCACTAAGGCCAGGTATTTTAGGGTATGTGAGGGAACACTGTGGTTTGTAAAAGTTGCTTTGATGCATGGATAGGATTTTTCACTCCACTCTGATGTTTTCTAAGAATGTCCTGAGCATTTGTCAGATAACAGCAATGTGTTTGTTTGTTTGTTTTTGTCTTTTTGAGACAGGGTCTCACTATGCAGTTCAGGCTGACTTTGAGCTCACTTGGTAGTCCAGTCTGGTCTCAAACTCCCAATGATCCTCCTGCCTCAGCCTCCTGAGTGCTGGGATTACAGGTGTGCACCACTACACCTGGCTAGAGCAGTGTTTTTTAGTTGGCAAATAGTGAATTTTAATGAAAAGTAAAATACTGCTTTACCATTAATGATCTTTAGTATTGTAATATTGACTCTGCTCTTTTTTCATCTTTTTTGTGGTATAGGGGGTTGAACCCAGGATATAACACAGTCACTTTTTTTTTTTACTTTATTCACAGTACTGGGAATTGAACTCAGGAAGCACTGAGCTACTTCCTCAGCCCCATCTATTTATCTATTTTTTATTTTATTTTATTTCAAGACAAGGTCTTGCTAATTTGTACAGGCTAGGTTTGAATTTCAAACTCTCCTGCCTCCACCTCTTAAATACCTAGGATTACTGGAATGGACCACAGTGCTCCACAACTCCACTATTTTAGTTAGAACTTATGAAACCTTTTATAACTCTAACTTTCTGATATCCTCCATAATTTTTACTTGTATCTACACTTGATCATAAAAAGGTATCGTTGAAATATGTTTATCAGCCGGGGCACGGTGGTACATGCCTATAATCTCGTAAATTGGGGGCTGAGGCAAAAGGATTGCCACAACATTGAGGTCAATCTGGACTACACAAAACCCTGTATCAGAAAACAAAACCAAGGGGCCGGGGATTTAGCTCAGCGGCAGAAACACCTGCCTTGCAAGCAGGCAGTTGTGAGTTCGATCCCTGGTACCGATAAAAAGGAAAACGACAAAAAAAAAAACCAAAAAAACCTAATGGCGTCAGGTGTGGTGGCACACACCTGATTTCCCAGCACTCCAGAGGCTGAGGCAGGATGACTGCTGTAAGTTCAAAGCCAGCCTAAACTACATAGTGAGACCCTGTCTCCAAACAAAACAAAACAAATAAACAAACAAAAAAACCTAATGGAGTTTAGAATAATTGAAAATTTTAAAATTCAGTCTTTTCACTCACCAGATATAAAACAAATCACGCTTTTATGTACTTTAGTGTTTTGTATTATTTAGAGCTGATTGTAATACAGGTGAATAATACACTAGTACATGAAGGCTGGCCTTGAACTTAGAGCAGTCATTGTGCCTCAGCCTCCTGAGTGTTGTGATTACAGGCATGCACCACTATGCTTAAAAGAAAAACAATTTTTGTTATTGTTGTTATTGTTGTTGAGACAGAGTCTCGCTCTGTAACCCAGGCTGGCATCAAACTCTCAGTGACCCTCCTGCCTCAGTCTCCCCAGTGCTAGGATTACAGGTGTGTGCCATCTTGACTAGCAGAGGAACAAATTCTTGAGCCAAAGAAATAAACACTTGTTAGAAAGCTGTGTCTCTCCAGGTGTGAGGTGCACACCTGTAATCCCAGCACTTGGGAGGCTGAGGCAGGAGGATCACCATGAGTTTGAGGCCAGCTTTCACTATACAGTGAGACCCTGTCTCTAACAAACAAAGGAAGAAAAGCAAGAAAGCTACGTCTTTTCTAAAAAAATGAAAATCCTAATCTATTAGCCAGCTTTTTTTTTTTTTTTTTTTTACTTTTTGAGACAGGGTCTCACTGCAGTTCAGACTGGCATAGAGCTCACTTTGTAGCCTAGGCTGGTCTGGAACCCTGCCTTAGCCTCACAAGTGCTGGGATTACAGGCATACGCCACTATGCCCAGTGCCAGTTTTTAATTTTAAAAATGATTTATGTTTTTGTTAGGAAGTTGGGAAATGCGTAAACAAGTAAGATGTAAGATTAATATGATTTCATAGTTTTTACTTATAGTGGGTGAAATTATAGGCATGCATTAAAGACACATGAAAACATTAATAACAGATGCCTTTGAGTAGTAACATTAATGTCTTTTTCCCTTTTACATATTTTTTGATTTTCTATATGTTCTATTATACAATAGGGAAAAAATAGCTTTAAAATTTTTTTTTTTTTTTTTTTTTTTTGCTGGGCAGGGTGCAGCACGCTCCCAGCACTTGGGAGGTTGAAGCAGGAGGATCCCTGTGAATTCAGGGCCACTCTGGGCTGCAGAGTGAGACCCTGTCTCAAAAAGCAAACAAATAATGTTTTTTTGAGACAGGATCTCATTATGTAGTTCATGCTGGCCTGGAACTCACAGGGATCCTCCTGCCTTGGCCTCCCAAGTGCTGGATTACAGGTGTGTATCACCATGCTTGGTGCTCTAAAAATACTTTATGAAAGGCCAAAATATTTTTCTCCTTTCCAGTTGAAATATGAAAGTATCCAGGGAAGTTAATGTAGGAAACCAATTCTTTTGATTTTAAATTCAGTTGCCAGGCACTTATTGTTAGTTTAAAAACAAATAAACAAATAAAAAAGTCATTCTGTGAAATAGATTAAATCCCACAGTCTAAAAGTTGCATAATTAATTTTCAACAAAATGACAGGAGAAAAAAATCAATTCTTGTCATGATTTGTGTGTTATGCTTCTTATATACAAAAAAAAAAATGCTTTTAAGAAGAAGTACCCCAGGGGCTGGGGATTTAACTCAGCAGCATAAGCACCTGCCTTGTAAGCAGGGAGTCGTGAGTTCGATCCCTGGTACCGATAAAAACGAAAAAGACCAAAAAAAAAAAAAACAAAAAACAAAAAAGAAGAAGTACCCCAGGGTGCATCGTCAGTTGAAATATACTTCAGGTTTTCCAGTAGGAGTGATGTGGTTACACGATCCAGTCCCCAAACACACAACATATTTTTGTCCATTTTTTTAGTTTGGACAAAAGATTGGTTTATAAGTCATGGTTAGTTTGGAAATACCATAAAGGTGTTGCCTATCTCCCACTCCGTCTACTAATTACAGTTTTTCTTTCATATTTAATTTTAGACAAGCCATCTATGATGCATTTGAACGCTTCCTTCATAAATATGCTACCTAACTGGATTGCTGTAGTACAGTAATAACCGGTGCAGCCATTGTGTTTCTTACAAAAGGAATTTTCATCCTGTGATGATGTGAAGAACCAGCAAACAGCACTATATATCTAATTTCTACCAGTTTGATCTGGAATTCAGTGTTATAGATCAGTCAGTAAACTTTAAATACATATCGATACTTTAAAAACAATATCCAAATTAAATAATTTAAAGTATTTTGCTATTACTTTGTGGGAGCCCCATTACTTAATATCTAGCTTGTTATGATATTTATAAAAATATTTTAAATTGAGTAATTTATTAATTTAAAATAATTTTATTCATTGGAAATCCTCTTGGTTTTTAATGGAATTTCTAAAACAAAATTGTAATATATCAGCCTGTACTGTATACCCTCATGATATTTCTGCGAACTTGATTGGAGAAATATGTGTATTTTTTTGAATGCATGGTGAGTTTATAGTCTTGTTTTCAATTCAATTGCAGTTTAATTTTCAGCCATAGAAATTACTTATGTATAAAATCACTGTCAAATTTGAATTCTAAAAATCCTGATGATTTTGTAGATAAGTACTTTTAATAATTAAAATGAATGTTGAACTACAGATCAGATCAGATGAATTAGACTAAACTGAACTTTAAATTTTTACTGAAGATTAGAGTTCTAAAAATGCCAAACATTTCTCCTACTTGAGAAATTTCAAGTCATGAAAAATGGAAATAGCAAAAGACCTACGGCATTGACTGATGGTTCTGCGTCTAACATTTTTCTGTACAAACTTACTCTTCACTTACTCTTACACTTCAGTTACTCACACTTTCTGACTTTGTAGCTCAAGTACTTGACAGCTTTGCCTTTTAATTTCAAAATACCACCTATGAATTCGACTTGTCAACCAGGGATAGTGGTGCACACCCGTAATCTCAGTGTTTGAGAGGCTGAGGCAGGAGGATTGCAGTGAGTTCAAGGCCAGCCTAGGCCACTTACAGAGTTCAAGGCCAGCCTAAACTGCAAAGCAAAACCCTGTCTCAGGAAAAAAAAAAAAAGAATGAAAAGGAATTGAATTGTCCCATATACAGTTTTACAGACAGACTTAAAGTTTTATATACCAACTATAACTTTTTTAATGAGAAGTTATATGGTTAAATGTGGTGCTTTGTTTTTTCAGGCTTTTTCATGTTTTGTTGGGTTTTTTGGAGACATGATGTCCCTATGTTGTCCGTGCTGGTCTCAAAGTTCTGATCCTTCTCCCTCAGCCTCCCAAATGCTGGGACTATAAGTATGTGCTGTCATACCCAGTTCTTAGTGTTTTCTTTTTATGTTAAACTTCTCCAGCTGAGAGTCAAAGTATTAAATTTTTTTAGGTATTGTGTGGAGGTTTGGAGTAAGTGTATCTGAGGGTTTTTTTTTTTATCTGCATTGTCCATGAATTATTTTATAATAGTAGTTTTTGCTTAGTAAGGATAAAATAGTTTATAATGTGCCTCTACAGCCTTTTAAAAGATTTTGTAACTTTAATGCCTTCATCTTAATTTTTATAACCATTTAAAATTAGGCGGGCATACTGGTGCATCTCTATAATCTCAGCACTCAGGAGGCTGAGGCAGGAAGACTACCATGAGTTCAAGGCCACCCTGAACTATATATTGAGACCTGTCTCAAGAAAAAAAATTAAAAATTAAATTATTAATGTAACATCTTTGATGGCGTACAAAATAGTAACCTCTTTAAAACTATCATAACATAACAAACACTGAACAGTTTTAGAGCTAATACAGTGTTACATGTAACACAGCACAAACAGAACCTTTAGTTTTAACTGCCAAGTATAAAATCTACTCACATTCTTCCTACCAAATACCCCATAATGATAAAAGTTACTGGCAAATGAATTGCAGTGGCTTTTTATCTCATATATATAATGAAACATGATTGAATGCTTTCTGAACCATAACTTTAGTAACTAATTTTTTTTTTTTTTTTTTTGTAACACAAGGGTCTCACTATGCAGTTCAGGCTGACCTTGAATTCATTTATGTAGCCCAGGGTGGCCTCAAACTGCGGTGATTCTTCTGCCTTAGCCTCTGGAGTGCTGGGATTATAGGCATGTGCCACCATCCCCTGCTGCACAATGACTTTAGGAAAACCAATAGATTATTCTTTTTCATATAAATATTTCTTACTAAGCAATTAATACTATTGTGTGTGGTTTTCTGTTGGTGAAAGAATGGAATTTCAATACAAGTTTTTGGGGTGTTTTGTTTTGTTTTGGAGACAGACTCTTACTTTGTAGTGTAGGGTGTCCTTGAACTCCTCTGTAGCCCTGGCTGGTCCTGAACTCATGGCAGACCTCCTGCCTCAGCCTTCCAAGTGCTAAGATCATAGGTGTGTGCTGCCATACCCGGTCTCCAATACAGTTTCAATAATTAATTTTTCCCAAATGTGAAAGACTATTTTTTTTTTTTTCAGGAACAGGAATTGATTTCAACCCTTTTTTTGTTTCCCAATTATAATTTTGAGGCAAAGCATCTTGTTATGTTGACCAGACTGGCCTGAATTTGCCTTAGCCCCCAAGTAGATGGGATTATGGGCATGCACCATGCAGCCCACATGTAGCCCAATATGTCATTTCTTACCCTGATATTTTAAGAATATATTCCCAAACCAAGCATGTTGGTACATACCTGTAATACTAGCACTTGGGAGCTTAGGCAGGAAGATCCCCCACAAATTTGAGGTCAACCTGGCCTGGGCTATGTAGTGAGCCCACGACCAGCTCGCTCGTATTAAAAAGCAAGACTGTCCTAGAAACAAAAAAATAATATATTCACAAAACGACCTAAATTGTTAATTCAAAGAGCAAAATACCTTTTCTCAATTTTTAAAAATCTACTTCTCCTGGGAACCAGGCAGGTTTTACATGCTTCCAGTCTCAGCATTTAGGAGCTTGAGGCAGGAGGATCCAGAAAGTTCAAGGCCAGCCTGGACTATCTAGTGAGTTAAAAACCATCCTGAGCTACATAGTGAGACCCTGTTTCAGTCAGTCAGTCAGTCAGTCAGGCCGTCAAGCAAGCAAGCAAGCTAGTTCCTCTAAAATAGTGGCTGAAGTGTTTCTGAAATTCATACACACATATACAAACATGCAAATACATGTATATTGAGAATATGGATTCACAGAGAAGTGCTATCTGCAATGCTTTTACCCTTTAGAGAATTAGGTATATGACATGCTAAAAGTTAGAGCTGTAAATTGGTAGTTCACACAGAATAGTCTGACTTAATAGCTGTTTTACTTGGTATACTTAATGATGTATTTTGTAAGTATATTTAGCCACACTTGGTGGCACATGCCTGTAAGCCCAGAATTCTGGAGACTGAGACAAGAAGATTGCTGCAAGCTTGAGGCCAGCTTGAACTACATACATAGCAAGATCCTGTCTCGAAAAAAAAGAAGTTTAAATTTGAAAAATCTTGCTGGGCATGGTGGCACATGCCTGTAATTCTAGCACTCGAGAGATTAACGCAGGAGGATCATTGAGAGTTCAAGACCAGGCTGGGCTACAAAGTGAGCTCAAGGCCACTTTGCACACAGCAAGACTCTGTCACAAAAACTAAACAAAACAACAACAAAAAAAAAATGGACAACTCTTTAGGCTGGGCATAGATTCCCAGGTTTGCCCCTGGATTCCCTCTATTATCAGACTGCTTCTCCATTTTCTTCCTACTTAACATTGAAGGCATCTAATTTTGAGATCTCTGATTTTGATGTATGGTTAGGAAACATTTGTGAATGTTATGATTTGCTAATGCTGTATTACTGTCAATCATTCTTTAAACCACTTTATCATATGCATTTTAGATTGTTATGATATACCCTTTGAATGGTGCTTTTTATACAGATTACTGAATTTTTAATAATGTAAGATTTTTTGTAAGATTTTTAAATACTCTAAATATTTTGTTTTATAATAAAAGTTTATTGAAACACTTAATTATTTGTATTTTTTTCAAGAGGCATGATTCCAAATATAAGAAACACATGTTAACACTTGATTTGATTAAGGTATCCAAATGAACTCAGTATATTTATTCCCTGCTTTGTTTTGTTTTGGAAGTGGTACTGGGATTGAACCCAATGCCTTTTTTCCCCTTAGTTGTTATACTTACATGATAAGGTAAAAATAGAGACACTAGGACATGGGAGAGAACACAGAGCATGTGCATTACTCTTCTTCTAAGTTAAAAGATGTTAATGCAGAGTTTCCTAAACTAAAACCTCCATATTCAGATTTAACTGCAGTGTTGGCACTTTGCGGTGAATGGATGCTTTTGGGTTACAGTTTGGCATGCAGTCTCTGAAAGGTTCACTATGACTGCTCTAGGAGAACAGTATCAATGTCTCAAAGGACCAAATTTCAAAAAGTAAGCCAAGCATGGTGGTACACACCTGTAATCCCAGTACTTGGGAGGCCAAGGCAGGAGGATCGCTGTGAGTTTGAGACCAGCCTAAATTGCAAAGCGCTTGTGGTCAGGCATGATGGTGTAAGCTATAATTTTAGCACTTAGGAGGCTGAGGCAGGAGGATTGCTGTGAGTTTCAGGCCACCCTGGAAAAGTGGGTTCAAGACCTGCCTAAACTCCATAGCAAAACCTTGTCTCAAAAAGACATACAGACGCCCACACAAATACACGTAGCATTTGTGAACCAGGGTACCACTGTACCTAACCTACAATGTTAATAAGAGTTTTGGGGTTTCTTTAAATTGCATGACCTAAGCATCTAACTCACACCTACAGGAAGAAGTTAAAAAATAGAAGGGACCTCTGTCTCTATATTTACTTCTAGATCTTTGTACTTAACTCACAGGTACCTCCTATGAATTCCAAAAGCAACTTGTAACAGATGAAAATGTCCAACAAATTTTACAGCCTTGATCACCCATCGGCAAACTGGGAAAAAACCCACAAACTCCTGTACATTCATTCAGAAGTTCAAGTCAAGACTTTAATCCTGAACATAACAGTATAATCAGACATTGTTGCTTTCTGTAATTCCTCATATATCCTATTGTGTAAATTTGTCTCTCAAAGGAGACAATGTTATAATACCATAAAGAGACAGTGAAAATCTACAGCTTACCAAAAGACTGCTGTCTAAAATTATTTTCTGAGAGAGAGATACTGCTTTCTTTTAGCAATTCGTGGTGTTACTACAAATGCATTCTTTCTGACACTGGAACAGAAAGAATGATCATTTGTATTTGTCGGCATGAAGTTATTTTGATTTAAAAAAAAATCTCCAAGAACAGTCTTTATTCCAGTAGCAAACCTGTAAATCTTGCCCACAATGGGGAGAACCATACATAGCAATCAACACAGCGCTTGAGTGTGACACAGCCACACACTGAACAGCACAGTGCTGGAGAGGAGGCTTGGTACTAACCAGGAATCACACACCACAGCATCCCTGCGCTGCAAAATAGTAAACTAAAAGCCAAAATTGTCCCAGAAGTGTAAAATAATAGAAATAAATAGAATGTGATTATAAACATGCCTACAGAAGGACAAGAATTTGTAGCAAAGATTAAAATCATTTTAGAGAGGCTATAATAAATTTTTAAAAGCAAATGTTGGCAAAGACAGAGTAGTTAGAAATATTCAGTGCTAGTGGGAATGCAAAATGACGCAACTTTGGAAGTTTCCTCAGTAGGTCAGAAACAGTTATCATGATTTAGTACATGCTACGTACGTGGCCAAAAGAATTGAAAACAGGGCCTCGGATACTTGTACACCAATGCTGACAGCAGCGTTATTCACACTAGCAAAAGGATGATGATGAACGAGTAAAGAAAATGTGGTACGGCTGCACAATGGAGCATTATTCAGCCTTGAAAAGGTACTGATACAGAACAGCTACCCATGCAGATAAGCCTTTAAAACATTTTGTCAAATGATAGAAGCCAATCACAAAAGGCCACACTTTAGAGAGGCTCATTATGTAGTTAAGGCTGGACTTGAACTCACTGTGTAGCCCACACCAGCTTCAAACTCACAGTGGTCCTCCTGCCTTAGCCTCCCAAGTGCTAGGGTTACAGGCGTGCATCACCGTACCTGGCCCAAAGGCCACACTTTGTATCATCCCAAGTGTCCAAACCATATTGAGACGGAAAACAGACCAGTGGTTGCCAGTGTCCATGGGTAGGAGAGAATAAGAAAGGACTTCAAGGTGCCCTGTCTTATTCTGAGTGATGAAAATGTCCTGGCAGTAGCTGTACAACACTGTGGAGACTAAGTGCCACTGAATGTCATACTGCAAAGTGAATTGTATATGACAGGACTTTTCCACAGTAGAAAATAATTTGACCATTCACTTTAGAAGATATGATGCAACTCCAAGGTATTCCACAGTAAAAATATTTTTGATTAAAGTGTATTCATCAGGGCTAGGGGTTTAACTCAGTGGCACAAGTGCCTGCCTGGCAAGTGTGAGGTTGTGAGTGTGATCCCTGGTACCAAAAGAAAAAAAAATATATTCATCAACATAAGCATTTGTAAATTGTTCAAATTATAAAATGTCAGCTTTAATTATTTCATTTCTAAATAAATTTCCATTATAGTTTGAATTTCATAGAAACTGGAAAATAGATGTTTAGTGAATAGATTTTTTTTCTGTTGGTACCAGGAATCAAACTCATGACCTTGTGCTGAGCTCTGTCCCAGTCCACTAGTGAGCAGATTTGTACTGAATCGAGGAGATGCACTGCCACTAAGTCAAACAACATAAGCCTCAAATCCATTCATTAAACTGGTAATGGAAGGTGGTTATAAATACAGACTTTACCAAAAAAGTATACCTCAGGAAGGTAAAAAGTATTAATATTTTAATACTAACTTCACTGAGACCTTATGAGATTATTACAAATTTCCTTTGGCGTCTACATTTACAGGAGATGCTCAAAGGGCGGCCATCAGCTGCCAGACACATTAGTACAGCGAACTGCCCCAGTGAGTGCAGTACACCTCGGTTCACAGACTTCATTCTTGCCACCATTCTGCTGCAAACTGAAATGGACAAGAACCAAATAAAATTCAATGGTGAGGTTCGATTTTTACTTTATAGGTACATTTCTGGGGGCAGACAAATACATAGAAGATCACAACTCTCAGAAGTCTGAGAAAAGCTGGGTTCTGTCCTGAAAAGCAGTAAAGCTGAGAACTACTGGCTTATACCATTATTCAGCACTGTATCTAAATATAAAGTTTCATTCAATAGAATTTGTGCTGAGTTTTTAGAATGTGCTAGACACTATTCTAGACATTGGAAAATTTAAAGTTATTAAGTTGGTTTCTTGCGCTGAAGGACCTTATGAATAAAATAGAAAACATGTTACATATTTTAATTTTATGCATTCCAGTAACACCACAAGGAGAAGCAGAGGGATGCGTGGGCATCCAAGGTCAGCAGGAAGGACAGATAGATAGCCCACTGCTATGATTTTCTTAAGTGGTGTGCAAAGCACATCCGAAAAACAAGGATCACTGTGATGTCATCCAGACAACCGCTAAGAAACCACTTGCTGGACACTGGAGTTGGAGATCACATGCTTCTAAGCTCCTAAGCTCGGCTTTATTTATGTCTTCTCAGTTCATCAAAGAAGTTAATAAATTCTGTTTTCAAGCTTTTCACTAAGAATAGAAATATTTGATCCCCAGAATCCTGAGACCCAGATCCCCATACCCTATGCGAAGCACTACAAATAACTCAAAGTTAATAGATGAATAGCTTTGTGTAGTTTATCATCTGCCTGGGAAGGCAAAATACCCATCAAAACTATCTAGGAGCACTTACAGAGTGACACACATCTAAACACATGTGGTGTGATGTGGCTTACAAGCCAGGCTGCCAGGCGCTGAGAACAGAAAGTACAAACTCCCAACCAGAGCACTCACGAAGTGCCCACTGCCCTGCTGGTACAGCACAGGCCCTGGGTTTCCATGCTCCCTCAAGTCTAGACACAGCCCTGAACCTGATGTGCAGTTCATGAGGGGACTGGGGAAAGGAAACCTAGAACTTCCTGTTGTCCGGTATTTTGGTTCACACTTTCACATCTAACCTCTTTCTTACTCCACGTTGGTGTAGCACCATCAGGATCATTACCATCCTGACTTAATGCCCAAGTTCATGTAGCAACTAAATACAATGGTTGCCAAGATGTCATTGACCCAGGGTTGATCTCACACCACTTGCGCTGTGGTCTCAAAGTAAGAGCTCCCATCAGAGGTGCTTCTCAGAATTATCACAAGCCTTTTTTCAAACTATATGAATCACACCTAGATATATAAATCAGAAACTCCAGGTTGGAACTTGGGAATGTATATCACAATTATATAGGATCCTAGGAAATGTTTTATACTCCCCTGGTTAAGAACCTTGGCTTTAGCCCGGTGTGATGTGCACACCTATAATCCCAGCACTTGGGAGGCTGAGGCAAGAGGATCATCATGAATTCATGGTCAGCTTGAGCTACATAAGCAAGTTCAAGCCTAGAGTACATGGCAATAGCAATACCCCTGTAGAGTCAGTGGTTCTCCAATTTTTAGCCTGCAAAAGAATCACCTAAAGCCTTTATAAATTTCTGGATGTTTCCACTCAGAGGATTCTTATTCAGCAAAGAACTTTGTATTTAAACTGTATTTGTACAGTTTCCTAGGATGTAGATACTGTTTAGGAGTTGGTGTAAGTCTCACCCTAGCATTGAGATGAGTAAGTATAAAACTACCTACCTACCTAATGGGTGGAAATATTTTGCCTAATATATACTGTCTTGGTTGCTTCTCTCTCATTGTTGAGACAAAATACTTGACACCCAAAATTAGGGAAGGAAAGGTTTATTTAGCTCACAGTTTGTGGAGGTTTCAGTCCATAATCAGCTGGCTCCAAGGCAGAGTGGCACACAGCAGAGGGCAACAATTCATGGCTACCAGAAGACAGA